AAATTCACAAAGCTACTAAGAAAGCAAGGAGTATTACCATCGCCTACAGAAATCAGCTTCTGCTAGCAAAGGTAAAAGGGAACCGTGTCAACGTGAGTCCTAAACGGAATGCTTTAGAAAGTCACTCTTGTGGTTTTAGAAGTTCTGCTTTATCTTTTTGTTCTCACCGATCTGATATCAGTTGTTTGTGACAGCTGATTTCGTTGTTAAGCATATAAGGCAACATGACCGGATAGCAAAAATCGTTAAAGGCGATGGTGAGTCTTTTGATTTCAGAGAAACAGTAGTTATATAGGAATAGCGGGTAGGATCAGGATCAGCTCTAACGTTGGTGCTTTCAGAAATTTACGCTACCTACTGCTCCCAGGTTTCTCGTTTCTACCCCTCATCGACCCCTCAAACTTCTACGAATATGACCCCTCTTTGCACTTTTCCAAAGGATGGTTAACCTCAGTCAAACCCAAAGATGACCATCTTCCAAAACGCAATACGACCCATCATTTGTACTTCTATAAGAAGGCGACCAGGCCTGGTCGGGAACAAGTCTTATTTTCAGAAGCTCCTCGGGCTTTTGTACTGCGTTCATCTGTGGCATGTGATTCTCGCATCTGAGGCTGACGTGCTCGGTAGGTCTCTACTCTCTGATTTTATAGACGATTCAGTTCTAATTTATTATGACTAACATTTCCAGCTGCTTTGCGAGCTCAGCGAATCCCACTGGAAGCGCAAGCGCTGAGTGGTGAGCCGCTCGTCGAATATCTAAAGAAAAAGCAAAATCTCTTCGAGGTACAGCTTATTCCATGGCAATTCAGACGAGTATCCGAAGGGTTGAAATGCCCGTTTGTAGGTTGAACTAACACCCACAGCCCACTACTACAAGGAAATGCTGATGGATCTGAAATTCATCGACCAGAACCCGAATCCTGTTCTTGCGAACGAGCAGGACACCGGTGATGACATTCCAGAAAGGTTAGTCCGCAATACTTCGCTTGCCAAAAGGGATCTAGGAGACGTTTGGAATGGAATAGGTTGCTGGATGATTTTCATTCTATCGCCTCTTTTTTTCATCGTCCAGTGAAATCGAGCAACTACATAGTGATCCTAACAGTGCTTAGATTGCTGCTCCCATCTGAAAGATAAAGGCATCGAATTGCCTGACGCCGCCGTTAAGAAAACATCCCGGAGTTTTCTCTCAACAACTCGTGTTTGAGGGTTGTTCAAATGTTTCTGAAGGAGAAGAATGCAGCACAATTTCAGTCTCAACGCTAACCCGTGAACTTTAAACCGATTTTGAGGATGAAAATGTATAAACCCTATTATATTATTATATAACGCATATATTCAAAGACATTGCACTGTATAGGTGCAGATTATCAAGACACCTAGCAGCCTCTTTTGTCCAAAGCAAGGGTCAGGATGAACGGATGCGGTAATCTCACTCAAATATGAATGTAGGGATGGGAAGTGAAGCTGTAGAGAAGTATAAGCACAAAGAACGCAGGCGAAAGAAGGCAATGATGAGATAAGATGTCGAAGCGGGCCAAGATGTTTTGGTGGGATTTGATCCAGGTTCTTAGGGCCTAATGTCTTAGCGACCGTTTCAGTCTGCGAAAGTGGCGTGATCTCATGTCAGTAGCGGACACATCACTACCCGCAGCGACCATTTCAGTGAGGCTGACCTGCCTTGGCTCTGAGGCAAGACGCTCTAGATAAGTGGGCTCGGTACTAGTCTGATGCTATGTATGGCGTGGCTAATCACCAGTTTAACTCGAAGCGTCGTTAATGGGGTGCCGTAGGTCACTGGGAAGCAAAATATCAGGAGAATCGCCGTCCAAAAATGGCTCAAGGATATGTCACAGCGGATCATTCATCATGCAAGTCCATACAGTTGTATTTTATATAATATTTCACCAGTATCGCCAGAGCCATCACGTGCTGCGATTGCGCTCGAAAATCCTAATACTCTCGGCCGACTGGGTGACACCACAATGATGCCGAGCAGGGTTGGCCACAAAAGGTATCATTCTCGAAATATCAGCACAAAATCTAATGAAAATGGCGCTCCCCAGTGACTAAATATTAGCAGTTTTGTGCTAAACCCCGTAAATCGCAGGCTGCACACTAACCCATGGCGATGTGCACTTCTTCATTTTCCATATTTTCTCACATAAATTCCTTTTAGAAGGGTAACTCCAAAAAACCTTATTCTATGACCCTAAATCTATTGGGAAGAAATTGCATTTGCAGCTTTGATGGTCGAATTCAATGGGCCAATTGCCCCTCATTGTTCTACATCCGTGACCAGTCACTTATGCGAGTGAGTAGGACGGGTACCCCCAGGAGGCCCGTCGCGCGGCAAGAAGGCAGAGTCGGCGGACGAGTTGCAGCGCGTGGTGTGCGATGTAGGACGTGCAGTGGGACACTCTATTTAACTTGACGCGAAATCCCTATACGCGCGCGACTCGTCCGCTGACTTTGCCTTCTTGCCGCGCGACGGGCCTCCTGGGGTACCCGAGCCAATCTCAGGGAGCTAAATCTTCAACATACGCAAAGACATGACTCGTTTTCGATTGAAGGTAGTCCTTAGGTTACCTTTGTGTGAGGTACTTAGAGTTCTGTGAAAGCAGTCACTACGATTTGGCCCTTAATCAGTGAGGTAAGTTGAAATCGTCAAATGTCAGAGAACAGGGGCCCACATCTGCTCGCTAACGGAACACTGGCAGCGATAGCTTTACTAAAGGGGTCAAGGAATGAAATAATGACTTGACAATATGACTGTTCGATGCTGACCAATGCTTCTTTGGGATGTGCCACGCATTTTACTTCCATTCTGAATCATCGTGGCATTTAGGAAGTGATCCGGCCTATACCATAACTACCTGGGCCAATTAACCGAGCCTGGAAGGACAGAGGGCTTGACGGACCTGGACGGCTAACGGTAATATTCGATAGCCGGACCGTGCGCATGGTAAGCAGCGCTACCCAACCCTAGAGCACTTCTACCCTGACTACTATAGGCTATAGGTTCAGTGAAAAATAGACGGACCACAAAGGATAGCATTCATGATGTCAAGTAAATTTAGCGTAGTAATAATGAGGCCATGTGGCCATTAATCGTCAGTTTTACTGCAGAGAAGTATAGCAGAACGTTTTGAGGTTCCTGCTGGGCCGTCTCGACAGCTTCTGCCATATCCGACCGCCTTTGCATTGCCACCAATGGGACCATAAAGGTAAAAATGGTTTGAATTACTGGAACGTCACTCGACCAAGAAATCAACAGCTGAGTTTCAGGCGCACATCTCAGCCGACGACATTCTGTCATGTTGCACTGAATGTGGTAATGGGTAAGATTTCACATCCGTTTCGAGTGTCAGAACAAGGCCAAACACTGGACGATTGCATTGTTCAACCTTCATCTGATTCTCTTCTTCGCCTTAGCAATAGTCCCAGGGTCCGCTGCGACTGCGTGGGGCTCCCTTCATTCAAATTTTGATTGCCGTAAACTGCCCTGATTTTTGAAGTCTGTGGTGCACTACTACACTGGAAACCCCACAAAATCCGAAATGGAAGCAACATGAGGCAGCCTCGGTACCTCGCTGTAAATCTTAATAAAAGCTTCATATACATCCCTAGTTTGTGTATGGTGAAAAGTTTCCAGTGCGTTCGATACCGCTAAGGGCAGTTACATAGAAAACACAGGACCGCATAATTTATCAATTTATTGCTGGTCGTTACCGCATCTCTTCTCGACGGCCGACGCACTTTCAGAGTTTATCAGCTCATGGCAACTTGAATGATCAAATAGAGGGACGGGTCGCTTCTAGATACTTAAAGAAATTATCTTCGAGTGAAGTAGCAGGATCCGTAATCTCAAGGGGTGGTAGTACCGCCAAATTTGATAGTACGTGACAAAGGACTAACACCTTCGCTTGTACGCTGCGATCGCTGATATTCTTATCAGTTGCACCATACATAGTGTCTGTGCCCTTTCGCACACGACGTTCTCTTTTAATGCTGTTTCTCCCCTCCTACCACGGTCGACCTCCCAAATAAAATTCCAGTGCGTTTCGAGGTGCTTTTGCTTTTTTCCGCACGTTCCTCCTCGCACTTCATGTCCAATTTTCAAATAATCGCGAACCGTGTCTTCAAGAGTAGAGTAGCCTTCGTCGTTCGATGCTCCTAGCAGATGCTATCCTTAGAACCAATTCGATACGCGGCGCTTATAGATAAGCTTAATTTTACCACGTCTTGCGGACAATCTACCTTTTCCTTTCTCCTGCCCTTGCATTTTCAGAATGCGTTTTTCCTTCTCCTCATAACGCCAACCAACTTGAAACAGTCTATCGAGGTAGTTTCCTTAGACGATTTCTTTAGCGTCAAGGGTAGACAAAAAGCTCGTAAAATAAAGAGTACCAAGGTCAGTCACCAAGCAGCGAAAACAGCAGCCAAAAAAGCTAAACAAATCAAAACTGTGATCAGCATTTTATGTAGTCCACAATAGTACCGCGGGTAGAGGGAGCGGTGGTTCGGGCGAGTTTTCTCCAAAAGCAGCAGCGTCCATGAGGCAAACATTTTTTCAGATATCTTACGAGTCACTCATCGCAGCGTATCTTACCACATCCAAGCGTTAGATGTTTCAGATGTCACGGGGGTGGCCGTATCGAGCCTGGAAATATTTCGCAAAAGAGGGCGCCGTCTCGGGAGGAAATTATGGCACCAAGGTTAGTTTTTGAGATGTACTTGGCAGGATTTCGGCAACCCACTCAGTCCTTTTGTTAGTAGGACTGCTGCCGTCCATACGAGATTCCCCCGTGTGGATGGCACTGGTTCGAGCCCTACTACGACTGCCATGCCGCTTATAAAGGAACTCCGGCGTGTGTAAGACAGTGCCAACCAAGCTACAACAAGAACTATACCGCGGACAAATATTACGGTATGTGCACGACTTATATCATGTTAAGAGGGATGATTCTGGTCAGCGAATTCAATTGAAGCTGATTCAGTGGACAGAAAGGTTCGACGCTCAAACCCTATCCCCCATATTTGGAGGCGGCAATCACGATAATCTGATGATGTCAAAATTTGAAAGCAAAGATGCGAGTGGTGAGGTAGGGAAGAATAAGCCTTGTGAACGTTCGCAAACCCGAGGTCTAGATACCTCACCCACCCCGTTTATTCTGGGTGAGTCATGCGCCTTAGATACTGGCGGTCCGGGTGCGCCCGCGCCTAAAGAACATATGAGAAGAA